TATAACGACGCGTAATTGCATAGCCCCCGGCAAGTACCTTACTGAGTGCCATGACCCACCAAGGGTGTTATTTCCTCATTTGTCCATGCCTTTAGCCTGATTTCACTGCTTACATCTGCTGCGGGAGACAAAATGTTGCGTAGTGAACGCAGTGTACAGTACGCAGTGACATGTCCGAGCGTGAACTCTGTGCGCATCCGCAGTTCACATGCTCGAGCTTGAGCCAATGCAAAGAGCATGCCTATTTTCGAAACATAGCTTCAGAGCCTGCGCTTGCGGTGTCGGATGCTTCCGTAGCCGTGTGCTGTGCGCTCGCGGCTGGCTGCTGGCAGACTACGAAGTGGGCAGCCCGACGTGTGCTTTGCCCGCGAGCATCTTCAACATCCTGGAGGTCGTGTTTGTGTCAGACCACTCGAAGTTCCTCTGCGTGGCTAGGGCAACAAGGATAGGTGCAGAGCAACATTGCTCGTAGTGCTGCTGGTGTTGCCATAGGTAGGGACTTTATAAAGTTGTGCGTGAATCCTTGTCGGTCTCTTGTGTGTGGCAGCCCAAAAATGCAATTGATGAGCTAGCAATCTGGTCTTCCTGACACGTCGCCTCCTCATGACGTATACCGACAACGTTTGCAGGGCTAGCGCAAGCCTTGCTTGATTCGGGATCGGAGCCTGCGGTCTTGATTGAATTTGAAACGAAAGGGATCACTTCAATATCCGTTGCCCAGTGCTTGTGGCAACAGCGCAGTGAGCTGCCCGAGCTCCTGCACCGCGATAGGTGAACCTGCCGTTACCGCCACACGTGCCGCATTTCCAGGAAGCTAATCGGTGCAAGCGTCCAAGGAGGACGGATTTGCCGATGCCCCATCCCTCTGGAGGAGGAAACATTGGTCGCGCTTTGGCCTCGGCTCATCCCGTGTGTCGGGCAGCCAGGCTTGAGCGGTTTCGAGCAGACATGTGGGCCAGAAGCAACATTGGTCCCCAAGATGCCAGGTGAGAAGCCCTTTGTCGTATGTGTCAGGCGTGGCAGATTGCTCCGCTGCCCTGGAGCCTTGATGTCATTGAGAAGGTCGCTGCATCCCTCAAGGCGGCAGCTGCCGCAGCAGAGGTGGAAGTAGCCATTCGCGATGCACAGCGTAGCTTGGAGAGAGCCTTGGGGCCTCACGAGTCAAAGATGCCATTCGTTTGGAAGATCTGAAGCTGCCGGAGGATCCAGCTGTGGCTTCGATGGATGCCCTACGATCGTCATGCGTTGTGTTCTTGGGTTCATGGTTCTTGATGAGGGAGCTGGAGTTACCAAAGCTGAGGTGATTTCAGTGATTCACGGTGTTGTCAGTGGGAGTGGCATTCCGCTGACGTGCGAAGGCATCAATGGCATCATGCAGCGTTTTGGGACCACGTGTTACGTGTTAGTGGCACGCAGTGCCTGATTCGTTGCCGGGTTCCCCTTAGCACATACTCTGCCCACCCACACAGGCGAACACAGCCACATTTCAAGGCTGCCTCTACCCATGTGACGCGTGCACCCTAAGGGCTGTGCACATCATTTTCCACAACCTCCTGACTTCTCTGGGCAGCAGGTTGCAAAGGAAATGATGTCACAGCCATTTCTCCAACTTTTCTGTGGCCACGGTCGCCTTCGCTGGGCTATGCTGGGCTCCGGTAGGCCGGCTCCGCAAACCTTCCCCCCAGCTCAGCCTTCCACCCTCGCCAGGTTTCAGGCGCGCCCGTGCTAGACACCACGCCAAGGGCCTAGACATTACAGTGGCCGACAAGTCCTTTTCCTTGCCCAGCGTGAGCTTGGGCTCATAACCTGTGAATCATCATATTCTGCCCACCCACACAGGCGAGCACAGCCNNAGCCACATCTCAAGGCTGCCTCTACCCATGTGACGCGTGCACCCTAAGGGCTGTGCGCATCATGTTCCACAATAAAGGTTACTATGAAGGTCAGTCTACGGTTGGGTTTAGGGCTTTTGGGGCTTAATGGTTTCAGGGTTTAGGCTTTAATGGTTCAGGGTTTCATGTGGCCCTGGCCGTCACCAGCTTTTCTCCTTGCAGAAGCCGTTCATATTGTTGCTTGGCTGTGTTCGATCCTTTTGATCCCTGGTGGAGCGAACTTCCAGGAAGCCCAAGTTACCCAAGAAATCGTAAATGGGTTACGCTGCAATGCTGAATTAAGGGTAACCTGGGCTCTCTGGAAAGTCGTCCACAGGCCGCGGCTTCTTGTCGGAGGCTGAGCAGGCCCGACGTCGTCAGCACGGAATTGCTGGATGTTACAATCCTACAAAGGTAGCCCCGACTTTAGATACTTCATGTTGATTCATATCACAGGGGCTGTAAAGTAGCTCAACATCCACTCAGAACGCTTCGCTGGCATGAGGCAGCTCGAAAACCGAGTTTTTTGGGTTCCCCTAAACGTCATCATGTGGCGGGTTCTCTACAGGACTGGAATCAAAGCAATCGGCATCTCTGTATTGCTCGAAAATTGGGTCCCGTTTTCGGTCGCAAATTAGTACGGCACCCGTTGATAAAACGGAATCTATCTACCCATCTTGTTTGCTGAGTCCAGAGATCCTCCAAGAAATCCCGAACTTTAAAGCTTTGAGGCTTGAAGTTTACACCCTTGAAATTCTGTAAAAACAGTATATAAATCCATAAAAAACTGCATGTTTAAATCCCAGAAACTGTCACACCACCCTACAGAAACGATCTCTAGCCTTACATCATAACAGGGATCCTATTCCTTATAGGGATATTGGAAGATCGGGCGAGGCGGCCTCCGCAGCGAAGACTCAGGCGGACGAGGACAGGGAGATCGGGCTTTGGGTTGCTTAACAGGGTTTGTAAGGGTTTTGGCGCTTTTGCAAGTCTGGTGCTTCAATAAGGTTTTTGTGGTTTTTGGTGTTCCAGCAGATTGTTTTTCAGGGTCTTGGGGCATGATGGGTGTATATGAGGATTACCAGAGACTGAGAAACCCCTTCATCCTTGTTCTGGCTTCAGGGATATTACGACATGAACGGGTTCGGCAGTCCCTGGGTTGGTGTAGGGGTCCTACTTGGCTTTAGGGTTTGGGGCTGTAGATGTCGGGTTTTCATGGTTGCCCTTTACGGAACAAGGTCAACATGTATTTCCGGTTTTCGTTAGCTACAAGTAGCAAGCAACAAAAGTTAACGAGCTCGGGTTGAACCCGAACGCTCCAAACCCCAGAACCGAAAACCCCAACACTCCAAAACTCAAAACGCCAGAATTCACTTGTCTCTAAGTGCCAAACCCCACAAAAGACACAACCCAAAAGCCGTAAAGCTGTGAAGACTAAACTCTCAACCCCCACGGAGCCCGTATGGAACCCTTATAGAACTCCGTAGATCGTTATCAAAAGCATAGTTATCAAAAGCATAGCAGCATCATAAAAACCAGAGCAGAATCGTTCTGGATTAGAGCCCTTCTAAAGCCTTACACCCTGGTGCAGCGCGGTGTGCAGCTTGATACAGGACCTTCCAATCCGATGCAGGCGTTATTCGTGTCTTGGGGGCTTTGAAGGGGCTTCGGAACGGGTTTACTGTTCATATAGCGGTGCGACAAGAATTTTAAACGGCTACATAGTTGACGTTATACGCAGTTTACTTGGGATTGCACTGCTGATATTCCCTGCACCTACCACTTACTTACTAAGTCACTTGGTTGTTCACATATTATATACGGTTTGAGGGTTAGCAGTTCGGTGTCTTGGGTTATGCGGTTTAGGGCCCATGGTCCATGGCATGGCATTGAGATTGCACTCGTGTCTGCTCATCATCATCGCAGAGGCCAGCGATGACACAAATATCCTCATGCTTCAACTCCTGTACCCAGTGCCCCATCCCGACCTCCAAGAAGTCATCCAAGCCCCTTTTGAAAAAGTCACCCAAGCTCAGCACGGGGTGTGCTAACAGCGAACTGCCTGTGCAACCTTCTGATGCATTTTTTGGAATCCCTGTACAACCTACATCGGTTGCGGGAGGCTACGGGGCGACTACGAGCATTACGCGATCGATCCCGAGGCTCCCTTCATCTAACGTATGGGTCTGAATATTTCGTGAATATACTATATTGCATACCTCCACCTCTGCAGAATTCAATTGAACTTGCTAAATCCCCTGTATTGGTCTTAGCAGTGGAGGCAGTGGAGTAGGTTAGAAGCCTCTAACCTCTTCGGGGTACTATAATCCCTATATCATCCCAAAGCTTAACCTTTATAGTCCCCTTAGGGTGCTGGACAAGTAAATGCCTCAACCCGAAAAAACCTGGCTTTTTACGGGTTTGTATAAGGAATTCATAGTAAGGAGCCCTTAAAGTCTTAAAGCCATCTTCCCAAAGATTCAGAGGGCACCGCAGTTCCTGTTGGTAAGCGTGTCAGTGAGAGAACAGGGGCAGGATGGGGTCGCAGCGTCAAAGGGGTAGTTCTGTAAATAGGGGATACCTCAACAGGGACTCTAATAGAAAACTACCCATCGGTTTGGGTCTTTCGTTTGGGGATTAAAGTACCTTGGATTTGGGGGTGAGGTTTAGGGTGACTTTCGGATCTTCAACTGCTGACTTACAATGCTTTGATACTAGGGCCTATAAGGCCGATGATGACACCAATGCCAATGGTCTACTGTCATGGTTTGACATGCCACGTTGTTGAATCGGCTAGAGCTATAGTTGCTTCATTTACCACTCTGATCCTGCCAGCAAGACCATGATGACCACAACCAAGACAACGGTGTCGTGGCAATGACGGTGATGGCAAGTGATGCAGAATGTGTTGATGATGGGGAGGAGAAGCACGAGATGATGATGATGATGATGATTGTTAATGACAGCAGTAGTGGTCGTGATGGTGGTGCTGATGTCTTTGACCATGGCCGTGGTATCCATTGGGTCTTGCCATATGCTTGAGGACATGGCTGTTTGGCCCGAGAGGATTGGTGCCTGAGGCCACTACATCGCGAGGTGACTTCCGACCCTTTTCTGTACTCAGCCATGCGTGAGGCAATCTGCATCCACATCGGTCAGGCCTGGATCTGCCTCGCAGTATCACCCCAAAAGATCCTGAATCCTAACACCCTGAAGCCTCCAAACCGGAGACAACAGCAAGAGGCGGCAGAGGGCACGCACTGAGCTTTAACAATGTGGTTTCAGGGTGAAGGGCTTGAGATTTCAACCTCAGGGTTTTGATTTTTTGGTTTAGGATCAAGGGTTTGGGAGGCGGTTTCGAGGGTTCACGAATGGTTAGTGGTTCAGTTCGGGGTGGGTGGGCTGCGTCACCATGAGCATGAGAAGAATCACAGCCAGTTGGATTCATGTAAGGGGGGATTCAGGGCTTTGGCCCTGGGCTTGTGAGTTTGGTTTCCAGCTGATGCTATGAGTGCTGCCGGCAGGGCGGCGTGCAGATCGGCAATGCTTGCTGGGAGCTCTTCTGCCTCGAGCACGGCATCCAGCCGGACGGCCAGATGCCATCCGACAAGACGATCCAGGGCCGCAGCTGAGGGGAGGGTGTGTTTTGGGGATTCGAAAGGCGGTGTCCATGGGTCTCATCCAAGGGAGCTTGTAAACAAAGCCATGCTGAATGATATCTCAGGATTGGTGGAGGAGATGTCTCTTTGCAGCACTTGGAGCAAGATACGGTGTCGATGAACATAGGTATGACCTCCTTGTCATCAACGACAGAGAGCTTTTGTCAACCCATACCTCAATTGAAAGCTGCGGTACGATGCTGATTGTTTGCTTGGGTGAGTGGTTGAGCCAGCAGCTACCAAGCACGTGGGGTCAATAAAGCACAGAATGCTTGCTTGAATTATGTCATCTGCGTTCAAATCACCTTCTCTTAGCACTCCAGCTGTATGCCTCCCTGAAGCCAAAAGGACGCGTTTAATACCTTCTTCAGTGAGACCGGGGCGGGCAAGCACGTGCCACGCTGCGTGATGGTCGCCGGGCTATGACTTTGGCAACAGTTCTGCGTGTCGGTCATATGCCGTATCTACACCTGTCATACATGGCATCCAATGCGGCAGGTGGACTTGGAACCGACGGTCGTGGATGAGGTGCGTACAGGCACGTATCGCCAGCTGTTCCACCCGGAGCAGCTCATTTCCGGAAAGGAAGTTGCTCCGCTTTCCAGTATCATTTTGGTAGACCCTCCTGGTAGAAGTTTTTGGGGCTGCCATTGTTTTGCAAGCGTGTGGTTTGATGTGACGCAGAAAGAAAGCACAGAGGATGCGGCAAATAATTTCGCGCGTGGACATTACACCATCGGCAAAGAGATTGTGGACCTGGTATTGGACCGCATCAGGAAGCTTGCTGACAACTGCAGCCTGCTTGCAAGATCATCGTTGCGCGCGTGTTTGTTTGCCTGTGTTCCCCGAATCCAAACCGAATCTTTTTCCGACGATGCTGTCACCGAGGCACAGGACTCCAAGGATTCTGCGTCTACAACGCATGCGGCGGCGGAACAGGATCAGGTCTTGGCTGCCTCATGCTCGAGAGGCCGTCTGGGCCGTGCCAAAGACGTTTTTTTGTTTCCAGCTTTTACAGTTTAGGGCCTAAGCGAACAGTTTTGGAAGATCTGGTCAGCTTGCAAGGCTGTCCGTGGATTATGGCAAGAAGAGCAAGATTTCCTTCACCGTGTGGTGCTGCCCTCAGGTGGCCACTGCAGTGGTCGAGCCCTACAACACCTGCCCAGGGTCCACCTCTACGCGGTG